CTGGCGTTGCGCGACCGGGTGGGCTGCAGGGTGGGAACCCACCGCGGACACGAGAGCGCGACCTTCCTCATCGTCGTCCTCCTCCTCCTCCTCCTCCTCCTCCTACTCCTCCTCCTCGTCTTCCTCCTCCTTGTCCTCCTCCTCCTCCTCCTCCTCCTCCGCCTCCTCCTCCATCCCTCAACCCCGCTCTTTATAGATAACTCCCCCTGTCGCACCCCCACACGTGTCGGTATCGCAGGCAGGGCGTTTCCTTTCAGAGTTCTTCATCATCTATGATCAAAATACTTATCATGTGCAACAGCTTCAAGAATTGAGGGCGGCCCACCATTTTCGAAATGTGACCCTAGCCTCAAAGCCACGCGCGTTCGTCTTAAACGTTTGTAGCAGCTTAGGAATGGAAGACGGCTCCGTTTCAAAATGTGGTTCTCGACATAGCGCCGTGCACATCCGTCTTACAGATGTGCAGCAGTTTCTTGTAGGAGTCCCAGGGGCCGTGCTGCGGCACGATCCTGAGAATGTCAGGTCTGAGTTGTCAAGCTGATTCGCGGTGTTGGAGTCCCAGGACTGGCACTCAGGTGCGATTTAGGACTGTCCGGACGCAACACTCAAGCTTATTCTCGGTGTTGAAATCCCAATAGTGATGTTCTGGCACGAGCTATGTTGTCCAGATGCAACAGCCACGTCGACCAGCGGCGTTGGAGTTCCAGGAGCTGCGTTTTGGCACGATTGGGGATCCTTAAACGGGCGTCTTTCAATGAGGCACTTCCCGGCACAAAAAATATTGTAGAGATTTATGAAGAGAGACCTTGTAAGGCGGCTTGGTTGAAGTATGGTTGGTACGGTTTGGGTTCACACGGGTCCTCATCCTCCTCCTCCTCCTCCTCGTCCTCCTCCTCCTCCTCCTCCTCCCCCTCTCCTCCTCCTACTCCTCCTCCTCCTTTTCCTCCTCCTCCTCTTCCTCCTCCTCCTCCTCCTCCTCCTCCTCTTCCTCCTCCTACTCCTCCTCCTCGTTCTCTTCCTCCTCCTCATCATTTTCCTCCTCCGCCGCCTTCCTCCTCGTCACCCCCGCCTCCTCCTCCCCCAGCATCCTCCCCCAATTGTCCTTGCAGATAGCGAACCCCTGTCGCACCTCCAGACGTGTCCGTAAGGGGGGCCTGTCGCTCGAGATTCGGCCATTTCTTCTGATCTAGAGGCTTGCATTCTGTAGCAGTTTGTAGGACGGAGGGCAGTTGGCTTTCAACATGCACCCCTCGCCCAGAAGCCGCGCGCACTCGCCTTAAAATGCTACAGCAGCTTCAAAGATGGAGGGCGCCTGTTTTCAAACGGTGGCTCCCGCCTTAGCGCCGCGCACGTTCGTCTTAGAAGTTCGCAGCAGCTTCCATGATTCAATGATGGAGGGCGGCCCATTATCTAAATGTGACTCTCGCCTGAACGCCGCGCGTACTGGTTTCTGGCTGATTCAAACAAATGTGGCAGCAGCCTCAGGGATTCGTGGATTTAGGCGCGTGAGGACGAAACAGACACGTCGATTAGCGGGCTTGAAGTCGCAGGAATGGTGTGCTGGCATGATGAAATATTGCCCGGATGCAAAAGTAATATTGGTGCTCGGCGTTGAAATCTGGAGAATTGTTTTGGCACGGCTAGGGGGTCCCAAACGTTTATCGTCAAACGGGGCACTTTCGCAATAAAAACTACCCAGGGGCGCACTCAACCTCCTCTACGCATATGACGACCCTGATCAGGACCGCTTAATTCCAAAATGATGCATGGACATATCAGCAGCCCCCTTGAACACTTCGTCACAGAACGCCTGACACGCCCAATGCACCCCCCATGTTTGCACTAACTTTTGCAATCCAAACCAGACGTAAGACACCACTCCATTGGGAGGGTGGCTCTTAAGCGCGGTACCAGATTCATGTACCAGACTCATGTACCAGACTGAAGTGCCAGACAAATTTACCAGACTACTTCACCAGACTAATGTACCAGGCTCATGTACCAGACTAATGTACCAAACTAATGTACCACACTAGCAGACTAGCGGCACAAAACTAGCGGCACCTGACTAGCAACACCAGACTGGCGGCATCAGCCTGGCGGTGCCAGACTAACGTACCAGACGGGCCGCCAGTCTGGTACGTTAGTCTGGCACGTTAGTCTGGTGCGTTGGTCTGGTACACTAGTCTGGTACGTTAGTCTGGTACATTAATCTGATACATTAGTCTGGTACGTTAATCTGGTACATTAGTCTGGCACATTGCTTTGGAACATTTGTCTGCCGTATTAGTTTGGCACATTAGTATGGTGCATGAGTCTGGTACGTTCGCCTGGCACGTTAGTCTGGTACATTAGTCTGGTACGTTAATCTGGTACATTAGTCTGGTACATTTGTATGGTGCATTAGTCTGGTACATTTGTCTGGCGCATTCGTCTGGTGCATTTGTCTGGTGCGTCAGTCTGGCACCGCCAGGCTGGCACCGCCAGTCTGGCGCTGCCAGTCTGGTACCGCTAGTCTGGTGCAGCTAGTCTGGCGCCGCTAGTCCGGCACATGTGTCTGGAACTTTAGTCTGGTACAGTAGTCTGGCACATTAGTTTGGCACGTTAGCCTGGTACATTAATCTGGTACATGTGGTGCATCAGTCTGGTACATTCGCCCAGCGCCGGTTGTCTTGCACGTTGGTCCCAGACTAACGCACCGACTAATGCACCAGACTAATGTACCAGACGAATGTACCAAATTAAAGTGCCAGACTAGCGGCACCAGACTAGCGGTACCGGACTAGCAGCACCAGACTGGCGGTACCAGCCTGACGGCGCCAGACTGACGTACCAGACGCGCTTCCAATCTGGTACGTTAGTCTGGCACGTTAGTCTGGTGCTTTGGTCTGGTGCATTAATCTGGAACGTTAGCCTGGTACGTTAGCCTGGTACATTAGTCTGGTGCATTAATCTGGTACATTTGTCTGGTGCACTCGTCTGGTGCATTTGTCTGGTGCACGAGTCTGGTACATTAGCCTGGTACGTTGGTGTGGTGCGTTAGCCTGCCCGCGCGAGGCTCCGCCGCCCGCCCGCTGCTCCAACTCCGCAGCTCATCCTCTCTGGGTTGCCGCGCGGGGCGCCCGGCGCATCCCAGACCTGCCGGTTGGCCCGCGACGGCCTGGCCCCCTCGTCTGCTGCTTCGGCGGGAAACGCCGGGGGCGCCGCCAGGGCCTCCTTGGAATCCGCGTCGCCCTCGGCCGCCTGGTCGCCGATGTCGCCCGCGTCCCCTGCCGGAACCGCGGCCAAGGCCTCGGCGTCTCGGACCGCGGCCAGCGCGTCTCTGGGAGGTTCGCCAGCGCCCGCGGGCCCCTCGGGGGTGGGCTCGGCCGGCGGGCCCGCTGGCGCCGAGCTGCCTACGCCCGCTGGCGCCTTCGGCTCTCCTGCCCCTTGCTCAGCGAGAACCGAAAATCGATTTCTCCGGGGGCACCTCCACGAGGCCTCATGAGGAGGGCGGGGGGAGGAGGAAATATAGAGGAGGACAAAAGAAAGAGGAAGGATAAGGAACAAGAGGGAGAAGGCCTTTTCGCGCCCCCTATCCTTCGTTCTCTTCCTCCTCCTTTTGAGACCTCGCGCGCGGGCCCTGGCCCTAGGAGAAATCGATGTTCGATTATTCGCTGAACACGGGGCGGTCCCGCTTGCAGCGCTTCGCGTCCGGGGGGGGCGCTGCCGCGGGCCGCTTCAACGCCTCCGCGCCTGGCTCCTCCTCGGCGCGCTCCTGAGAGCCTGGCTAGCTCCTCCTTGGCGCGCCGGGCGGGCGTGCTGCGGGGTGCCGGCACCCCCGGCGCGCGTAACGCCCCGGGACTTCTCCGGCTCGACGCTGGCGTCTGCGTCCGTGCTCGGCGCTGGCGCCGGGCGGGAGAGCCCGGGGCCCCGGCGGGTCGCGCGGCCCCGGCGGTGACTCCTGTGGTCCGAAGTCGGGGTCTTGTTCTCCGTCGGCGGAGACGGCCGCGGGGGGCGCATGGGGGCGCCGATGCGCCCGGCTCGGCGCTGGCGCGCTCCTTGGCAGGATGGGGCGCCCAGGCTCCGATGGGCGACGCATGGGCGATTTCGGAGCAGGCTCGAAGTCGGCCCCCGGCGCTCCCCCGGGGTCCGAACGCGCAGTTTTCCGAGCTGCGGCGCCCGCGGGGTGCTCTGGGGGCCGCGGGGGCCTCGCTGGACAACGCGGGGGCACCATGGGCCAAGGGAACTTCCAGCGGCGCCCGCGCTGGGCGCGAGCTGCGCAAGCGCTGCAAGACACGAATGACCGCAGACGAATATCAAAAGCACATGAATGCAAACAGTTGACGACCCGCGCGGACTTCTTGGATCGGCGTTGGACCCCCCTCCCCAGCGCGCGGGGCGCGCCAGCGGCGGTGCCGCAGGCCCCAGCGCAGATGCAGGAAATCCACGTGGAGCGTCGAAAATTTACGTTGATGCGTTTTTCTTCGTCAATCGGTGGGGCGTGAGACTTGGGCGCGGGGGGCTCGGATTGGCCTCCTCCGCCTCCTCCATCTCCATGGATCCCCCCCCCTCCTCCTCCGCCGATTCTCCGCTGCTCTGGCGCGCGAAAGAAAAGGCGAGAACTTGCTCGGCGCGGCCCGGGCCCTGGAAGGCGACGCTCGGGAATGGGGAGGTGCGTGGCGCGTCGCGCAGAAGCGTGGCGGGCCAGAGCCAGCGGAGGCTCCGGAGGCAACTTCCGGAGGCCCCGGCAACTTCCCAGGGGTCATGCTTTTCCTCGCGAGCTGTCTTTTCGGGCGGCCCCGGGGCCCAGAAGCGGCCCCCAGAAGCCGGAAGTTCTGGCGGACTTCCAGTCGAGATGGTTTCACGACGTCGGAAATCTGCCCCCCCCCCCCCCCCCGGCCTCCGGGACCTCCTCCGCCAGCGCTGCCGCTGCCGGCGCCTGCTGGCCGACGCGCTCGCTGGCGGCGGCGGGCGGCGCCGCGGCGAGCGACCTATAGCGCCCGCGGCGAGCGCCGCTT